AATTATTAAAAAAATGTGTTCATTTCACATAAAGGTTCATGTTTAAAAAATTTTCAGAAAGTTTTCCAAATAATTCTATATGATATTTTTAATATATGCAGGCTCTGTAATGATTTGACATTTTTCATTTTGAAAACTGAATATTTATATTATCTTCCTCCCATTAATGTCTTTTTTTCAGACTGAGGAATCCCGTCTATTCCCAGCTCACTGGAATAGTAATTACTTAAATTACTTTTAAAATTACTTAATAGTAATTTTAAAAAGACTGTCAAGCAGGTACGGCCTGATAGTAGCCCTCTGTTAGGTTTTTCAGACTGTAAGGTCTTTACAGGAGGAAACTGCTTATCTTTCTGCTACAGAACAACTGGTCAATTTGAGCCACCAACCTTTCAGGTCGCCCCAACACGTTATGCTCTTTCTATGAGAGATCTTTTTAAAACACCAAAGAGTATAGGATCTTGTCAAATGTCTTTTCTGTCTTGACTGAGATGATCATGTGGTTGTTTGCCTTTGTTCCATCAATGTAGTAAGTGGGTTGATTTTTATAATGTAAAAATTACCTTCCCACTCCTGAGATAAATCTCACTTGATCATGATAATCTCTTATGATGGATGTTTTGGGGTTTTTAAATAGGATTTTGTTGGAGATTTTTATACCTATATTCACAAGGGATAGTTACTGCTTTTTTCTCTTGTATGTTTGTCTAACTTTGGTATTAGAAACTATTTCTTCCCCTCTTATATAATTTGGGAAAGCTGAAAAAGCTGAAAAAGACTGGAGACACATCTACAAACGGCTAGTAGAATTCTCCAGTGAAGCCATCTGGTCCATGTCTTTTCTTTGTCAAGAAATTTTTCATTAGGAATTTAGGAACCAGTTGCCACTTCCTCTGGCTTCCTTTCTCAGCATCTTCCTGCATCCACACTTGATCTACACCATACTTGGCAACCCTTTACCATAGGTGATCAAGCTTACATGTATTTTCTTACTTGACAATGACAAAATATGCATGTTTAAAAATTTTGTTGTTCTGTCATTCAAAGATTGAAAAACTGGAAGCTGCTTCTTTAAATGACTTTTTTTTTTCAACCAGGATTTTGGTAAGAGAATCTGTTTACCATACATACTTTAGGGAAAACATTTTAAAAAAGAATTCAGTTATCTCATAACTTCTAACAGGTTCTGTCTCTACCATGCTTTAAAAAAATATCTATTAAAAAACTACATATGATTAACCAATGCAATATGAAATGACATCCTAACCTGAGACACACTATTCTTACCATTTCAACTTAAGGGAGAAATAAAAGCGGTAAGAAAGAATAAAAAAGGCCAAGTAATATGAGACAACTTATAAAAGAATATAAAGCAAATCCTCAAAGTAATTTTGTGACTGTCTTCACAAAATATAGCCTGTTAAACATGAAATAAGTAGTTTTAGAAGAAAAAAAATTAATGTACTTCAAGTAAGAGTGAAGGGTATACAGGTTAAGAAAAGCCAATAGTATAACATTTGGATGCTTTTTTGGTTTTTATAGTCTAAAACTGTCACAAAGAACAAATAAAATACACAATCTTTTTGATGAGAAAAACAAACCAACCAATGTGGGCTGTTAAAGAATAAACCTGACCCACATATGGGCCATTAGTACAATCCCAATGCCTGTCTTTACTCCATTATCCAATAATCCCATTTCAGGTAAACTATTAAAAGCAAGAATCACCATTTTTGTCCACTGCAGGGGAAAAAGTTAACATTGTTCAAATTATTTTCAACAGTTATAAAATTCTAAAAAGTGAAATATAAGAAAGTAAATAATTTTCTTTAATTAATGAGGTTTTTTTCACAAAATATAAGCATCTCCAATAAGAGTAAAAAAGATAAAACTCTAAATTGAGTGGGAAAAACCCCTCACAAAACTAATTGTTGTTGTTGTTATGTGCCGTCGAGTCGCTTGCGACTCATAGCGACCCTATGTACAATAGCCCTAAAATCCGCTCTGTCCTGTGCCAATCGCACTGTCTCTGACGCTCCCATCCCAATTATCCCAATCACTGAATCAATCCACCTCATAGAGGGCCTTCCTCTCCTGCGCCGTCCGTCCACCCTCCCAAGCATGATGTCCCTCTCTAAGGACCAGTCTCTCCACACAACATGTCCAAAGTATGTTAGACGGAGCCTCAGAATCCTTGCCTCCAAGGAGCCACCCGGTTTAACCCTTTCCAGGACAAATCTGTTTGTTTTCCTAGCAGTCCATGGTATTCTCAATACTCTTCTCCAGCACCACAGCTCAAAGGCATTTCTTTTCTTTCTATCCTCCTTGGTCATTGTCCAACTCTCTGATGCATAACAAATGATTGCGAAGACCATGGCCTGTATCAGACGCACCTTGGTCTCCAGAGAGACACCATTGCTCTTCAGTACAAAACTAATTAATCAAGTCTAATTGCTTTGACTAGTCTGCTGATTAGTCAGGTCTTCTTATGGAAGGTAATATTCCTGCCTCCTCAAAAAAACAAAAGGCAGCATAAAATAAAACCCACTGACACTGGAGTGGATTAGAATTTACAGCAACCTTACACTGGATTTTTGAGCTATAGATTTTTTTTAAAAAATATAGACCTCTTCATGAATTTGCATGTCATCCTTATGTAGGGGCCATGTTAATTTATGTCTCGTTCCAATTTTAGTGTATGTACAGCTGAAACAAGCACATCAAGCTATAAATCTTTCTGGGAGGGGACAATATCTTTTTTCCCTGATGGATTCGAATCACTGACTCACTGAGGTAGTAAGAGGAAAGGAAAAAAGAAAACATTCAAATTCTTTCACGTGCTCCCACTTTAAGTACCTCTAACCTCTCTAATAACACTACATGATTAAAAGGAAAGGGATAAACCTAGTAAAATAAAAAGTATTGCTTACGTGTTTAAAAGACCCATAAGGAACTGCTGTGGACCCTGTGTCTTCTAGGTAATCTTCCCAGCTTAACTCCACTTCTTCAACACCAGACCCAGTGTCTGGAATTAAATACAAAAACAAGTAAACACAACCAAAGAAAATGCAAAGTGTCAAAGCATACTAGTAAACCTAACTCAACAGAATTTACTTGATGATAAGTTGATTGGTTTTACACAAAAGCATTAAGTTCTTTTAAAATAACAGCTTCCCTTGTTGTTAGGTGCCATTGAGTTCAGTATGACTCATAGTGACTCTATAAACAACAGATCTGAACCCTGTCCTGTCTTGTGCCATCCGCATCATCTCTGACATACTCCAGCCTACTGCTGCAGTCACTATGTCAATCCAGCCAGTTGAGGGTCTTCTTCTCTTTCACCATTCCTCCACATTTCCATGCATTATGTCCCTTTCTAAAAAACAGCCTCTCCTCAAGTATGCCCAAAGTATGTGAGAGGCTTGGTCATCTTTGCCTCAAAGGAGCACTGTAGCTACACTTTCTCCAACATTTATCTATTTGCCCTTTTGGCAGTCCATAGGATATTTGGCAATCTTTTCCAGCACCACAGCTCAAAGACATCAATTCTTCTGTCATCCTTATTCATTGCTCAGCTCCAAGATGCATAGCAAGTGAAAGAGAAGACCATGGTTTAAATCAAGCACAACTTAAGTCTTCAAACTGATATCACAGCTCTCCAGTAATTAAGAGTGGTCCCTCTCTGACTGCTGACTTGCCCAATGTAGTAATGTCTCTTGATCTAGGACTACTAGTATAAGGGTATTGTGGATTCAAGTAAGATGAAATAATTTACAATTTCAATCTTTTCTCCATCTATCATGTTTTTTAAGTACATATAAAATATATACATGTTTATGTCTATATATATATATATATATATATATATATATATATGAGTTATTAGATTCTTGTCTAATATTCTCAGCCATATTCTAATATTCTCTAATATTGGCATACTGTCTAATATTCCCTGCCAACACCATAATTCAAAGATAACGTTCTCTGTCCGTTTTCCTTATCAGTGTCCAGCTTTCACATGCACACAAGGCAAATGAAATTATCAAACTTGAGACAGACATACTTTAGTTCTCAAAGAAACATCTTTGCTTTTTAACACTTTAAATAGGCCTTTTGCAGCAGATATGTCAAACGCATGACATTAACTGACTTCCTGACTGTTATTTCCATGGACACTGGTTGTGAATCCAAATGAAAGAACTCCTTGATAACATCAACCATTTCTCTGTTTACAACGATGCCGCTTACTGGCCCAGTTGTGAGAACTGTGTTTTTCTCTATGTTGAACTGTCATTCAAAATGACCTTTGACCTTCAAATCCAAGATGAGAGCTATGGTCTTTGATCTTGAAAAGTAAGTGGTTTAAGTTTTCTTCAGTTTTAGCAAGTACAATTGCATCATCTCGAATACTTCAGGTTGTTAGTAAGTCTTTCACCAATTCTGATGACTCATTCTTCTTCATGGAGTCCAGCTTCTTGGATTATTTGCTCAGCACAGAGACTGAATGAGCACTGTGAAAGGCTACAACCCCGACTTACACCTTTCCTGATTTTAAACCATGCAATGATTCCCATTCTGTTTGAGTAACTGTCTCTTGGTCTACAAATGAGTGGCTCTTAGTTCTCCATAAGCACAATTAAGTTTTCTGAAAATCCCATTCATCTCAATACTATTCATTTTTTGGTCAGATCCACACAGTCAATAAGACACAGGTAAATATGTTTTAAGTGTTCTCTGTTTTCAGTAATAATACTTTTTAATTATCTTTATCTGAAGATAATTAATATCACACTTGTGATATTAATTATATGGCTTATTATTAATAATATTATAATATTAATTATATGACTTGTGATATTCATTATCTTGTGTGATACTAATTATATTGCTCAATAATCCTAGCAATTCTGTTGGATCACCTTTCCTTGGAATGGGCACAAATATGTTTCTCTCAGACATTTGCTCTTTCAAATTCCCTGGTGTGGCCAAGTGGCACTTTTAGCACTGTGTTCACGTTTTGTAACATTTCAACTGGCATGACCAAGCAATTCTATCCTTAGGGGTATAGCCAAAAGAACTGAAAACACATATTCAAACAAAAACTTGTACAACAAAGTTAAAAACATCTCTATTTACAACAGACAAAGTGGACACAATGTTCAAGAACTGAGTAGGTAAACAAAATATATGTAGGTAAACAAAATATAGTATATGCATGGTTATGAGCTAGTATTCTTTCATAAAAGGAATGTTGTTGTTATGTACCATCAAGTTGCTTGCTACTTACTCATACCAATCCTACATACAGCAGCTCTGAACCCTGCCCTGCCCTGAGCCAGTCTCACTAATTCTGACACACCAACTCCCATTTCCCCAGTTACTGTATCAATCCTTCTCATCTGGAGTCTTCCTCTCCTGCGCTGTCCCTCCACTTTTCTGAGCATGATGTTCTTTCTCCAAAAACTGCCTCCTCCTAGCCATGTGCCCAAACTAGCCTCCAAGGAGAAATTTGGTTTCACCCTCTCCAAGACCTATTTGTTTTTATGGCAGTCCATGGTATATTCAAGACTCTTCCCCACCACATCGATTCTTCTTCTGAAATCAGAGAGTACCAGAGGGATGTCTATTGGTGTTTCACTGACTATGTACAGGCATTTGACTGTGTGGCTCATAATAAACTGTGGCTGACTCTGAGAAGTATAGGAATTACAGAACACTTAATTGTGCTTATGCGAAACCTATACTTGGACCAGGAGGCAGTCATCAGAACAGAGCAAGGAAACAGTCCATGGCTCAAAATTGGGAAGTGTGTGCATGAAGGATGTGTCCTATCTCCATATCTTTTCAGTCTACAGGCAGATTATCTGGGAGGCTGGGCTCTATTAGGAGAAGTGTGGCATCAGGATTGGAGGTAGAATCATCAACAGTTCACGTTATGCAGATGACACAACCCTGCTTGCTGAAACTGAGGAGGACATGAAGCACTTGCTGCAGAAGGTCAAGGACTGCAGCCTTCAATATGGATTGAAGCTCAACGTCAAGAAAACAAAGATTACCACCACTGGGCAGATTGTCAGCATCATGAGAGATGGTGAAGAGATTGAGATTGTTGAAAGCTTTAGTTTGCTTGGCTCTACAATCAACACTCTTGGTACCAGCAGCCAGGGAATTAAAAGACAAATTGCACTGGGAAAGTCTGCTGTCAGAGACCTCTCCAAAGTACTGAAGAGCAACAATGTCAGTCTGGAGACTAAGGTGCACCCAATACAGACCATGGTCTTTGCAATCACTTGCTATGCATCAGAGGGCTGGACAATGACTAGGGATGATAGAAGGAAAGTTGATGCCTTTGAGCTGTGGTGCTGGAGAAGAGTACTGAATATACCATGGACTGCTAGGAGAACAAACAAGCTCATCTTAGAGAGGGTGAAGCCAAGCTGCTCCTTGGAGTCAAGGATTCTGAGGCTTCATCTGACATACTTTGGATATGTTGCAAGGCGGGATCAGTCCTTAGAGACAGACATCATGCTTGGAAGGGTGGAGGGACGGTGCAAGAGAGGAAGACCCTTGATGAGATGAACTGATTCAGTCACTGGAGTAGTGGGGATAGGTGTGTCAGAGACAATAAGATTGGCAAGAGATAGAGCAGGGTTTAGGGCCGTTGTACACAGGGACTCTATGAGTCGCAGGCGACTCAACGGCACATAACAGTAAATAACGTATCACAATGGTAAAAAGGAAAAAACCTGACAATATTAATAATGACAAAGTTAAAAAGAAACTGGCTCTTTCATACTTTGCTGGTGAGAATGTAGAATCACACAGTCACTCTGAGCTATTTTAGTTTGGCAGACTTTTTAACTAAACATATGTTTACCATATGACCCAGCAATCGTGCTGGGAATTTATCCATAAATGACAATCTTCTGTACACAGTAGTTCACAGGAGCCTGATCTGTAGTAGCCAGGAACTGAAAACAACCAAATATACTACAAGAGCTGAGCGCCTGCACTCACTGTGGCACAGCCATGGGTTACACTACTCAGCAGCAACAGGGAACAAAGCACAGGCTCATCACAGAGCCCGCTTCCGCTCGGTCCCACACCACCACCATAAAGCAAATACTGTCACACCAGTATTCTGGCTTCCCAGTACATACAAAAGTTATATTTGCAGAATGCTGCAATCTACTGTTAGCAATAGCTCTGCGGAAAAGTCTGAAATAGCAAAATTCAAAAGGTCTGAATTACAAAAAAATGATACAGAAACAAACTCAGCACATACTGTTGGAAGAATAATGCTGTTTGATTTACTTAACACAGTTTTGCCTCAGATTGTCAATCTGTGAAAAAAATGCAGTATATCTAAGAAGTACAACAAAGCAATTAAGCAACAAGCAACTAAGGAAAGTATGCCAATATTTATATACACAAGAATGTTGACAGACCAAGGGTATTAAGTGAAGAAAAACCCAATCTTAAATGTCAGAAACTGTACCATTCTATTTATGTAAGATTCTTAAAATGACAAAATTATACAGGTTGAAAACAGATTAATAGTTGCCTGGGTCCTGTGTGTAGGAGACTTACCATTATAAATGCACAGTACAGGGCATTCTTTGTGGTGACAGAATACTTTTTGTATCTTAAATGAGACTGGTTACAAGAAAACACCCATGAGGAAAAAAATGATACAGAACTATATACATTGCATACCAATGTTGATTTCCTGGTCTTACTGCTGCACAACAGTTACAAGATGTAACCAGTGGAAAGACTGGGTGAAAGTTACATAGGATTTGCAAGTACTGTATCTTTGCAACTTCCAAGGAATCTATAATTATTTTCAGATAATTAGAAAATAACTGTCAAAATGAAAATGTTGTTTTAAAAGGAGAAGTCTGTTCATAAAAGTTCTTTTTCCAACAAACATTGTAAGCACTCTCTTTGCCAGAAGTAGAGAATGTGATGCAAGACACCATCTCCTTCAAAGAACTTCCAGTTCAGTGGCAGAAAGACAAGTCAGACAATACAGAGCAGGCAGATACAGACTTCTGTACCCTAGAGAATAAATGCTTCTCAGAAAACCCAATACCTGCATCAAGCTGCTGCTCCCCGTTCATTTCCACAGCATATGAGCGATCTTCTCTCCAAACAAAGGAAAGGCCTTATGCTTCTGCTATGATCTGATGATCACTTGCAGCTCTCATGTGCCTGTTCAGTGTGCACTGAAGGGTCCAAATGGAAGTGCTAAAAATGAAAAAAGAACACATAAACAACCCAAAGGCCAAGCATTCATTCTGAAGACAATGGTGTTCAACTTGATCAAGAAAGCAGGTTACAAGGACTGTTCACCATCCAAGCTTTTCTTTACTCTTCACTAGTCTAAATTCCTCTTTCCTTATGACTTGTAGCAAATCCAAAAGTGACAGCTGAGTCTCATTTATAAATAGATTTTTTTAAAGAACACATTGGTAGAATAGATGAGATTAGATGAAAAAAATTCACAACTTTTGCACACATAATTTCTTTGATGATGATTATTATTATAAGACTCATTCTTGTAAGACAGAAGCAAATGTCCAAATGGCCTCTGATATTAACTATTCCTCCTCCCTTCAATTCTTCCACTCCCATCTCTGGTTTCTGTGGTTCATTGGAAGGTCTCACAGAAACTAAAAAACCATGAGGGAAATGGTGTATGTGCTTCTGGACATAGGCCTTGGTAAACAAAGGCCCAGGAGCTGTATCCTGGGCTACTGATTGTTGACTACAAGCACAGCTGGACCAGGTTAGATGCAACATCCCATGAGAACAAGCACTGCACTTTCCAGAATCATCCCTTTACAAAGGAGTTCAAGTTTATAAACCTATGGGTGGCAACTTGGGTTAATTAATATCTTCTACTAGTTGGGGCTTATATCCCACCCTAAATCTATCACCTTAACACAATAAAAAACTTATCCTTGAAGTGAGGTCTTAATTTCTAAGATTGTTGTTGCTGAATATCATTGAGTCAGAACCAAACCTATAGCTGACCCTCCAGTGAGTTTTCAGAGGCAATTAATCACACAAGATTAATTAATCACCCTTCTCCCACAGAGCATCTGATGGCCTCGAACCGCATGCCTTCAGAGATTGCCATGCAGCTCTTCCCACTATGCCACCAGAGCTCCCTTTTCTTACACTAAGGGGCTAGAATCACAAAAATGGGAGGCTGTGAATGACAGGGCCATATTACTTAATCCATTGTACTAAATATTTTCTAATTCGGAAGATCTTAAGTATGTTGTTGCTTATATGAGCTGTCAAGTTGGAACTGATTCATAGTGATCTTTCAGTGGCTTTTCAGAGGCTGTAAATCACATCAGAAGAGATTGTCCATCTTTCTCCCTCAGATAAAGCTAGTAGATTTGAATTATGTGCCACTAAGCCACCAGAACTGCCCTTGTATGTATAAAGCTATAAAGATTTTTATATCTAGAAATCACAATAATTTAAGATCTATATGAACTTAAAACTGCAATACAGAACAATATTAACTCTTAACTCACAATAAACAATTCCTAATGACTTTGGCCAAGGAGTAAGAGGAATTGGGGGAGAACAGCTTTCAATATTGTGCCTATACCAAATGAATTTGATTCAGGACACAGTATTACTTGAACTAATTTTCTACTTGACTTATCTAGAATATTATGCAAAATGAGAACATACCAACTGTATTTTTGTGTACAATTAAACTTATATAAAGAGACAGACTCTAACAGCAGACTTAAGCTAAACTGGCGGGCAGCCTGGATGGCTCAGACAGTAAGCTCTACATCAGAGGGAGCTGGTTGATTACTGACATGCTAGGAAGCCAGAGTGCCTGGGTAGTGTAGACAGCACGCATCTTGCTCATCTAAAGGTTATGGGTCCAGTTATTCAGGAGCACCAGAGAGGAAAGGTGTGGGGATGTACTTCTGAAACATACCTTGGAACACAGTCCTAAGCATGAACTGACTCAGGGGCAACTCTGGTTTTTTAATTTAGGAAATACTCCATAAGCCACTAAAAAGATAGGTCCCATCCAAAACATACAGAAACATGACCACACTGCTGAGCGAAAAGCCAAGTGAAGAATACTATTACCTGCGTTAACTTTTAAAAAACTCACCACTGCTTCTTTGACTTGGTGATGCTGGACAAATAAATGGGTTGGCCTGTTTGTGCTAGTTGCTTCATTTGTAAAAGGGGGATAACAGCATTGTAACTACTTTACAAACAGCTATGATGACTGAGAAAATTCATGAAACACACATGGCATAGAGCCACCCACATAGGAAATGCTGAGTTATAGTGACTATTAGTCAATACTGACAGGCTCAAGTTCCTATGGCATTAACTTAGTGACTCATCTCTACGTATAAAGTCCTGACATTTCAGCACGGGTTTAATGGGAAAAAGCCAGTGCTAAAATAAGTATCTATTGGTTCACTGGGCCTTGAAGATGTCATCCATTGTTTATGTTTGTAAACTCTTGAAAAATGCTAGCATTTCTGTCCAAAGCCACTAGTGTTTTAAAAAGATAATGATAATAAATAAACAGATGAAGGACGAAAGTTAAAAACATAAGATGGGAAGACTACAAGTCTTAATGCAGCTGCATGTTAAAGAGGTGACATTTTTTTCAATCTCACAACATCACTTAGATTTTAGCCGATGAGCAATCAGTTCATCACTTTAATAGGATCATGAGAAATAAACTGATAAAAGCCTTTTGCTATGTAACATCTGTTCAAAATCTCTTTGTTGCTAGCCTGCTGCCTATTCATGCAGTGAGAAAAAACCCAAGTAAAATATCCAGGGGCTTAGTATATGGAAATTTAACTCACTTTTCATTTCTTTTCAGTTCATATTAAACAATTTTACTGTTTTCATTTACTTTATGGTTGATTTTGATACTGTCATTTCCCTTGTGGTTATCAGAGCACGTTAAGAGTTATTTGTTTAGATAAAGCACACATGATTTGACTTACATACAAAATCTTAGTGAACTAAATAGGTGTCCAGATAATTTGCAAGGGATTTATGTTTTAAAAGTAATGATTAATAACAGCTTTTATGTCAAACATGTAAAAAAATTAACCTAGATGAATTCTAAATTTATTTCATATTTCAGTCAGAAAAATCCAGACAGGTAATTATGATCAAGGTGACACTTTCAGTGGTCCATAAATATAAAGCAAAACCAACACAGAATAAGTAACTGCTAAATACACTGCTTAAAATCATCTTAACAATGGTCATACCAGGATTTCCCCTGCCACCAGTTGCTGCTTTATTTTTTTTAAGCTGTAGTATATTCGCACAATGGAATACTACACTGCACTGACAAACAAGGAACTCACGAATTACTATACAAAATGGGTGACCTTGGAGGACATTATGCTGAGTGAAGTCTCTCAGTCACAGAGGGACAAATGCTGCATAGTGTCGCTGTTACAAAGCGGGACTGACATTGGGGTTGGGGGGGGCAGACTGAGAAAAGAGGGGATAAAAAAATGTATACTGCATTGAAAGAGATGAGGGAGAGAACTGTTCATGATTAGGTACTGTTGTCATGACAGGAGTCCATAACAAAGGCTGTATAGTGGAGCAGACTTAGGGGGAGGCATTGTATAACAATTAAAAACTTTTTGTTTTACTTTTCAAAGAGAAGAGTGAACTGGGGGAGAGGGATGGGCAGGGAGAAAAGTGCAACAATGATGAGCGGAAATCCAAAGTCTCTGTAAACTTGCATTAAAATTAATAAAAAAGGGGGGGAAAGAGTACACAGTATGCTCATACTCTGAGCTTTCGCTGCCTAGCTTCATGTTAGTATACCTGGGTTTCGAGTCTAAAATAGAGCACCTCGTATCACTTTTACATGGGAAAATTACAATAAAGCAAGAGAGGTTTCTGTAAGAGATATCCTCGAACAAATGACCTAATGTGTCTGACATAAATAACTTAGGAAAAAGGAAGTCCGCTTAGTTCTAAAGGTAGTCAATATATGATTATGTAGTTGTTATGTACTGTCAAGTCATCTGCAACTCATAGCGACAGTTCTGAACCCTTTTCTATTCTGAGCCAACCTTACTGTTTTGATTACCCCAATAACTGAGTCAATCCATCTCATCAAGGGTCTTCCTCTCTTGTGCTGTCCCTCGGCCCTCCCAAGTATAATGTCCCTCTCCAAGGACTCATCCCTCCTTCCAACATACCCATAAGAAAATAATTTAATATTTACCAGAAAGTTAGCAGGAAAATTCTCAATGAAATATCTGAATTTGCACTCCTGTCTCAAAAAGGAGCTCTGGTGGCCAGGTCGGCCGGGGGTTTGCTATCAGGCCAAAAGCTGCGTCTCTGTGGTATTCAAATCTACCAGCTGCTCTCTTCTCATTCAATTTACAGCCTGGCAAAGCTCATGGAAAGCAGCTATATAGGTCAGTCTGACCTCACGTCAATGAGCAAAATATGCCTTAAAAAAAGGGGGGGGGGAACAATTCAACAAGCACTAAACCCAGCAAAAAATTTCAGGTATGCAGTTAAACATGTTCATTGCTGCTGAGTCAGAACTGACTCATAGCTCCAGCTGGTTTACAGAGGCAGTAAATCGAATGAGAGGAGACTGTCCATCTTTCTCGCTCCTTACCACTAGACTATCAGCAGTTAGACATGGAAATGCAAAAAATTCAGTAATTAATTTTGCTCCAAGTTTGGCCAGTCTTCAAAGTTAACTCTCTTTCTGTTAAAGTGATAGAGCCCCTCTGCTTCTGTTTCCTAACAAATACAGATTTCCCTTGACCTTTCACTCGTGGTGGTAAGTAGTCAGGTATCATGCCCCAGCTCTGCACACTTCCTACTGGCAAATGATCTAAACTAAATGCTGTGCTTCCGTCTGTCAGATGCCAATGTAACTGGACTGGCAGGAGTAGATACCTTTAAATATTTTGTAAAGGTTGTTTTTATTGTTTTAACCCTTAATATAGATATCTGACCAAGGAATTAAAAATAAATGGAGTCTAGAGCATTCTGACAGACAAATCTCAGCTACTCACACCATCTAAATTAGATCCGACCCTAATTTAACATTTTCATTTTGCACTTAATTGTCTCAATTGCACAAATTGGTACTAATGGATTTATAAAACAAGTGGATATTCTGGAGGGATTGGGGTGTGTGTGGTTTGAATCCACTAGCAGCTCCTCAAGAGAATTACAGA